AGTGATGCTACATTAGATCTGTCCTATGAGTTCAGCAGGAGGAGGTGAACCCACAGCTGGAGCGGTTCTCTAGTGGGTTCAGTATCATACTTGTGTTCATCCTGGTCTGAACCTGGTCAGAAGAACTGACTTCACTTTTGAAAATTCAATACTTATAAAAGGGAACCCCAAACAGTCTACAACGGCTGTTTTCTGTCCACCAAAGCAAATTTGATTGAAGAGGTTTTTGTAACTTCACTTCTCCAAAAAGCAAATAAAGAGAATAAACAAATTTACTGAACGACCGTCACAATTACCAGAGCTAACGTAGATCGGTTTATACTCTTGAGTCAGGAGGGATAAGAAAAGTGACTGCACGGACTGCAATCTGCAGTCTACTGACATCTAATGGAGAGATTTATACACGTGATAACTTTAATGATAGTTGAAAATAGGCCAGGATCTGCACTGCTTCAGCCTGAGCCTGTTCATCAGCACAGTCTGTGTAATATGAGAATAATAATAAACATGACTTTTCCTTCCTCTTCCATAAAAAAGGACGTCTACTTACCTTTTTAGAGACTTTTATGTTGTTTGGCAGGATAATGGCATCACACTGAAGTTTAGGTGTTCAAAATACACAATGACTGATTTTCATGTCAACAACTAAGTAAATATTCTGATGAAGAGCCACTAAAGGAGGTTTTTGGAGTAACTCTCAGCAGTAATGTGGACATGAAATAGTTGGTAGACATGTCATTAACCCTATGAGAAAAATCTTTAGTTCTATTCAGGTACAGAGACGCATTTAGGCTACAGGAAACAGTTTTATTCAAATACAATTTATTGTCAAATGTTATAGTGCTGATCAGTGACTGCCTTTTTACAACTTTTATAAAGTGACTGCAAACATTGTGGAACCGACTCATAGCGTTTGATTGCTTGTGTGAATGTATTAAACACGAAACCAGGAGCTGCAGAAACCCAGTAATGCTGAAGACGCATGCGTGTGCGTTTATTATGGCTCCAGGTTACATTTCAGATCTTCTTAGCTCACACCGCCCCACTCGAACTCTGCGCTCCTCCAGTCAGATGCTGTTATTAGTTCCACGCTCCCAGCTCAAATCTAGAGGTGACAGGTTTCTCCATTGCTGCCCCAAAACAGTCGTCCCCCTTTCATAAAATCCTTTTCATCCTTGGAGGTCTTCAAATCCAATCTGAAGCCCTTCCTATTTTCCAAGGATCTCTCTGACACCTGTTATTGTGTTTCAGCTATTCTGGTCTTTCATCTCATTGGATGATGTTTGCATGTGTAGACACGCATACGTGTACTTTAAGTTCACATATGTGTGCTTGTGTGTGAATGTGTACATTTTTGTATATGTATGTGCATATTTGCATGTACACATATTTTTTTACAAACATGTAAACATGTTTTCATCTTATCTATTTTAATTCTTTTCATCATATCATCCCTCTGTTCAGCACTTTGGCCGACACTTGATGTCTTTTAAATGTGCTGTATAAATAAAGGTGACTTATATTTGCATCCGTGTGTCAGAGTGTGTGTTTTTACCTTTAATTTAGGACACACACACACACAGAGCATAGAGTGAACAGGGACTATTAAGAGTGTGGCCTGTGTGTATCTATGCCAGTGAAACAGCCTGGA